ACCTACTAAATTATTGTGTCGTTATTATGATAAAGAATGTGTGTATGTACAAGTGGAAACCCAGGGAAATACAGTATGTGCCACTTTGAGTTATTAATCAAAGTCAGATCTTTTTATTAATGTTGGAGATTTCTGAACTCCCTTGACAGATGTTTGACTAAAGGACATACTGTATTTGTATCTTTCAGGTCACATGTTACAGTGCTCTGACTTATTAACAAACCTAAGTAGACTTCTACCAAATCAACTTGTTTAATTGTTTTGTCATTTTATTTCTACTGATCCTTTTGTTGATCTTTTATGTTTATTTTCTTGCATGCAGCCAAGCTGTATGTCCAGGATTGCTTTGAGGATAGTTTTTATTTACACGAGTCACAGAGGGACTGGAACCATACCTGGGGTGTGGATGTGGATTTTAGTCATGTTGAAGCCACTCACCGGTCAAACAAAAAGGTTTTAGGTCCAATTACTTGCATTTTTGAGGACCTTGAACCACATCTCATGGTCTTAATCAGTGAATACAATTGGCTCCATTAATTTAGTTTGCTCATTGTTGAAGACTGAGATGCAGCTGAAAGCTCCAGAAAGAGCTAGCAAGTGAACCTTGAAGCAAAAAGATTTGTCAAAAAAAAACAAATTCTTAACTCAAGGTCCAATTACTGGCTTTTAATAGAGCTTTCAACTGCATCTCATGGTCTTCATCAGTGAATGCTGTTTGCTCAATAGTTTTGGAGATATCTCTATTGTCCTGTCCATTTTTAAAAGGCCATGTGATGGCCACTGTATCCATTGATGAGCATGAGATGTAGGTGAAAGCTCCAGTAAATATAGTAGTGGATTTTTGAGTGTTAAATTCTGCTCCTGATGGATCAAAAAACAGCCCAATGATATTGGCGTGATGTTTTTAACTGGAATCATTGTTTTAGCATTCATGTGTAATGTAAAATGAAATGACCTGCTATATTAAGCTCTTTCACTTCACTTTCAATGTCCTATACAGTACATTATGATTGTTCTATACATATGTTTTGCCCAGGTTTGGTTTGACCCTGGTGCCCGGATGGGCTGGATTTAAACAGGGACAAATGAGGGGATGACTTTTATTGTTTTTACTGTATAATTCAGATCTGTTTATTATTTTATGTATCCTCTTTCTGTTTAGAGAGACTTGAAAAGTTCCATGTGCAGAGTTTAAAACCTGACTCTGTCCTGGTGGAGAATCTGTCTGATCTGAGGGATTTTACTGTGCCATCGAGGCCTCTCTGGGCCAGACCAAGATGATATGCTCATATCTGCTGTGAACTATCATAAATGTGTGTCATAAACGTGTTGCCTTCTGTAGAGTAAATATTTCAAATATTCCATTTAGCCATTGACTTTTCTTTCTGCAGTAAATCCCTCTGGTATACACTTCATTCATACTGTGTGAAAAAAACAGTTTTCCTTCAGTTTGATTTGAGAGACTTTACAGAGCCAGTGACATTACAGTAATGGTCATTTTAACTTATTAAGTGATGACTAACTGCTTCCTCTGTGTTCATGTCAAGGTAAATTACCAGATATGACGGTTGGAACCACATAGTGAGGTTTCAGTATGAATACGTTTACAACTTCCTTTCTAATGTGCAGCTTCTCACACTTGCGTCATGATTCTCTACAAGCTGAGCTGACGTGTGAACATCATACATCTTGTAATATTAATACCGTCCAATGCAAACCCAAAACTAGTAGGAACTTTATTTATATACAGTATTACAATAATGTAGAAAAATACAATAAAATTTTTATTCTTGCTAGGGAGCTTTGATTGTCTTTGCTGGGATGTGTCATATAGCCACATTACTAACAGCTGTATGGCTTTAACCATACAATTTAATCCATTCTCTTCATTTGATCATGTTTCCGGCTCATTTATGGTGGTCAGGGGGACACGGCTGTGAAGGTCCAGTGGTCAGTGTATAGGTTATGTCAAATGTTCGGGCTCAAGAGGGAAGCGGAAGGTCTTGTTTCCCGTCCTGCAGCGCAGCTCCGTGCAGTCCAGCCTGAGCAGAAATGGTCCTTCTTCATGGTCATCAACCAGACTCTGAGGGTCACAAAATCAGAGCGTCAAGAGTAACCAGCTGGTAAATTCTGTGCAAGTCATTCAGTCAAAACTGCTATGACTGCTTATCATGCGCACCCAGCATTATCTCCAGTACAACAGTCCTCAGCAGTGTTCAGCACATCACACATGCAAGAAATAACAAGATTGCGATCTAAGCCACAGAGAGGAACCCTACATCTAGACTAAAGCCTGATGGTTAACAGTATATTGGCTGATAATCTTTTCTTTAACATTAACACACATTAAATTTGTTAAAGAATTATGACTTGAGTGGGGCATTTTGCAGCTAATAAAAGGACTCAGGAACAGCTCTTGGTAGATAAACTGTGATTAAGACATGCTATAAATTACACACATATCTTTGGCATTTTTAATTAGGGGTGTACAAAAACATTGTAAAAACAAACTTTATTACCTTTTGTGTTTAAGCCCCCAACCACTAGATAGCAGTGTTGTAAATGTAAACTGAGGGCTATGATGTTTGGTGTTAGAGGGACTGTGATGCATTCAAAGGCAGAGCCCACTGTTCTGGTTGCACAAAATAAGTTAACTTTTTAATTTATGCATGTTGTGGCTTGGTCTTTATAGTTTACCTAAAATCAGTTTTTTTAAATTGCAATATATCGCAATATACTGAATCGTAATGATTGACAACGTCAGTGTTGTAAGTTGGCATGGACAGACACAAGCCGCCCCAGTACCTGCAGCTCCTGAATGCACTCCTTCATCTGTTCTGTCACGTCTCCCACACACCAGGCCAGACTCACGTGGAAAGATGGATCCTAGAAAACACATCAGAGGGAACATTAGGGGGGAAGACATGGATGTGCACTACTTCACATTCAGACATTGACTTACACTGAAGACTGTGCTAGGTATTATAATGTAAAAACACACCTGGTATCTTATTATCTTAAAATGGAATGTTTGCTACAGCATAGAAGAACATAACCCACTGAGCACATTTGCTGTGTTTACCCAGGTATCAACATATCAACAACAGAAAAAGACTAATTCAAACTTAAGAGTGAACAACAAACTGGTCCAACTGGTTGAACAGAGACCTTATAGAAAGTGTCCAGGCGAAACTCTGTCATTGTTCTGTCCACTGCTTGGACCAGCTCCAACAACTGAGCATGCCCGGTACACACTTCCATGCCCAGAAACGTCCTGCAGGGGATGACAGACAGACAGAAGTGATGCACAGACATTTAAAACCCACAGACAGACATTAAGATTGAGGACACAACTAAAGGCACTGACTGTACCTCGTTCTCTCAGCGTTACAATAGACCCTCAGTCTTCCCGCTGAGCACACAAACCTGGCAACAGGAAACACATTTAAATGAAAGTTCCACTTTAATCAGCTTCTGGTGTAATTTTCATATCTTCTAATATATTTTTACTATTCCACTTACTCCACAGTACTCCTTATTCACCTTGCCTTGATATAGTTATATTTATGGTAATACAATGGTTATATATATATAACTGCACTCTCTTCATTGTTTGGTTTCTCTATCATTTAATTTCCTTTTGACCTTGTTTTTTTGTGATATAGTTCTTTTAAAATTTCACCACCACAACCCTTTTTTTAAAACATTTTTTGTAATAAATGTGTAAAGCGAAAAAAAGCAAAAATGAAATCAAAAGAAACTATTAAGTTCAATCATCCTGTGTATGGGTGTTTGAGCTAACCTCTTGCAGTGCAGCAGGCCTGCCCTGAGGCTCTGTGTGAAGGGTTGGATCCAGTGGTGTCTCAGCACCACCGTCTGAGACACGCTGAGGTGGAACTCCTCCTGCGGGGTCAAAAGCACACCATGGGCCCTTGCTGCTGAGAGGAGCTCCTCCAACAGCTCCCTGAACTCCTCCTCAGGATGGTCTGACGTGGGGAAGAGACAGACAGAGAAACGTGCACACAGGAAGAAATGAATGTGAGGCATCAGGTTAAATAAATGGGCACAAATGGATCAATGATAACCACCAATCATCAACAGCAAAGAGTGCTGGTCTTACATGGCAAATAAACATAGGTGGCCCAGTTGCCTCTCTCGTGTTTGAAGGAGCGGACGCGTCCACCGTGAAGAGCGCTGTCTTCAGTCTGTGAGTCCACTTCCTCTGGAAACATGGCCAACAGGCATCCAGGAAGAGGCAGCCTGCTGGAATACACAGCCAATAATATGAGTGCTCACCTTCGTCTTCCATCTGTTTAACACTTACTATGGAAGCCCACTTCTGCCAGTAAAATAAAATAATAATAATATGAAAACTTAGCCTCAAAATGATGAGATAAAAATGTATAATTATAAGATAGAAAATTCATAATAAATCGAATTAAACTTGTTATTTAATCATTTGTAATATGATTATTTATTATCTCAGAATGTTTACTTAACATGAACACATTATTATCAAGGCTAAGTTTTCATCTTTTTTTTCTATTGGAGGTGGAAATGGTCTCCATATAAAGTTTCAGTAGGTTTATACCAGGGGTTGAACACGAGCAGAACTTAATAAAAACCTTTAAAAAAAGGTTAAATCATACAAGTTTAATAAGTAATATCTCTGTGCTTATAATTATAATGCAGGGTCTATACAGTGACCATTCCTTATACAAGTCTCTGATCAATCGTGCTCAACCACTGGGCCTACACACACAACACACAACACAAACACACACCCTGTTTAGACCCTGCTCCCCATGTTGTTCTTCTCGCTGGAACACAGTATCTCCCTCCTGGCACTTTTATTATACTGTTGATAAGATCGAGGGACCCATATAATCTAATAATTGTCCGCCGAGGCAGTGACCGCCTCTAGTATGTCCTCCTACCCCTCGCTCTTCCCGAGCTTCTGCTGTAGCCGACCAGCATCCTGAGAAGCCGAGGGGGGGGGGCTTTTGTGTCAAGTCACATGTCAAACATCTATTACACAGTGTGAACGGAGCTGAAAACGCCTCGGGACTGCATTCCAATACTACAAGGGGAAACAAACATGTTGTCTCTAAACGTATTGTCAAACGAGCATCCGGCGTATCTTCCGCTAAGGTCTGTTCGCTTTCGATTAAACCAAACCCTCTGTAATGTTCAATTTAGGTCCCAGTGAAACACAGGCCCCGCCACATAATGGTTCCCTTTCAGACGTCTTGACTACAAATTTGTGTTACCAGTGCATGGATGAGGACCTGTTGCTTAATAAGGCTTTTCTTGTATCTGTGATCTGAACAGTCAGCCAGAAATGTCTTCATTTTTTCTTACAATGGATCCATGCATACAGTCATAACAAATTTAAGAGGTGACAAGTAATACGATTCGGGTGCAACTAGAGGAAGATGTCATGTGTTACCTGTATAGTTTGTCTATATAACGACAGTTCACTTAACAGCATCTTGACTCTTTAGTACAACAGAACACATAGTGGGCAGTGGACGATCTATACGTTTGCAGTTTGTTTCGTTAAAGCCATTCAGTACCAGATCGGTGTTGACTGTGTGTGTGTGTGTGTTGTGAGCATGCCAATTAACTCTTGGTTTATTCATGTTCCCGTGCGCGGGCAGGGGCTCAGAAGCTAGCCGATAGCTAGCTACCAATTTACACCAAAATGCATATCTTGTCGCTAACCGGGAGGATTCCCTAGGAGCCAAATAAATGAATACATGAAACGGTGCGTTTAGGGGGCGATTTGGGAAATCGCGGGAGGATTTTGGACCATTTGAATGACCCGCAAATCCAAATTTTCTCGGCCCCTGAAGCCACAGCGCTCGAACAAGAGAGCATCCGAGCTCCGTTTGCGGATGTGAAGAAGGGACCTGGCGTTATTTGGGGGAGTAGCTAACCTAACCACCACAGACTGGCATTCATCGGGGACACTGTTTTCCAAACACTCCAGGTATGTGAATGTGGAGCTTCTCGGCGCTGTTTACATGCACCACGCACTAACTAACGTTAACGTGTCGCTGCAGCGGAGGCTCTTCTTTTCCCGAGGCTAGCCCGCTAACGTTAGCTCCTTCCTGCGCCTCTGTGGCTGCGTTAGCGAGCGGCTAGGCTAGCTAGCTAGCTAACGCAGCCTGATTACACTGATCTTTGCCTGGAGACCAAAAACGTTATGATGCGCAGACGCTGCCTTCCCTTTTTTTTTTAACCGCGAATCGTTGAGCATTTGGATTTCTGCATAGACAGGGGTGGTACTACATAACCTGAATAATAAAGACTTCAGTATACGACTTTAACGTTAATTGTTTGTGCCCTAGTGCGTATGTTGACGGCTGCTCGCTTGCTGTGTGTTTCTGCGGTAACGGATGTTGCACATTTCCTAATCGTTTACGATTATATCTCCTCGCATTGGGATGCTTTTAGCAACGTTAACACAGTGTACAACCCGCTGTAAGAGTGTCCCCCCCGTCCGTGTACATGGCTCTGTGCCTTCTGGATGAATATATGACTGATGTGAACACGTTTTCATCACTTCGACCGTTGTCACATCCGTTTTGTCTTCAGTCTTCAGTCAGAGTTGCTCAGTGAGCTGGTGTGTGAATATGAAGAATCCGCTCTGATATTGTGTTACAGCGGCTGTCTGGCGCCCAGCTGTTTCCACCTAACATTGCAACATGTCCTACACTATTACTAATCCATGAATGTTGCTGTTTCTGCCTCTGCTGGGTTTACACAGGTGGGTCCTGTGGCTCCTAAAGCTGGTGGAGCAAGGCTGCAAACGCAGATTAGCAATTTTTCTTCATTTTTTGAAAATAGCTTTTGCTACACAACTATTCTTTTTTGGCCAGCGTGTACTTTTTGTTGCACCACATGACGTTGGAGAAACGACATAATGCTTAAACCCATAGACGCGGTTGTTATCGGGTAACTCTTTTCTGCCCATTGTTTGACTCACTGTGACTCTCTTTTTCCACACAGACTCCACTTGAAGGCCGAGAATAAAGTTAAAGTAGGGGAAGTCTGATATCCACGCAGCTGTTCTCCTCTGTGCGTCTGTTCCCGCCATTACATCCTCCCCTACTGCCTCTTCACCAAGCACCCTCGCTAGTTCTTCACTGCTGCTTGCTGCAATGGAGTGAGTTTCTTGTCTTTTTATCTTGACGCACTCTGAAGCCTATAGCCCTTTATTTAAATATGTGCCTATCTCCCTTTCTCACTGCAGTTGGGCCACACCAGCTGCCAAACTGAACCCCTACACCAGAGCCCGCATGACAGAGGCCTGGCAGCAGCATGCGGTCGCTCCGCCTCAAGTCGTCCACACCATCCCTCCAGGAGCTGAGAACGCGTTGGGCTGTGCTGTGTATGGCATTGTACTTCAGCCAGATGCTACGTCTTTGCAGCAGCAGCAACAGAGTCAGCATGGACAGCACAGCCAACACAGCCAGCAGCACAGCGGGGGTCAGCAGCATGGAGGCGGGCAGCACAGTCAGCAGCAGCACCCCGCCCAGGCCCAGCAGACCTCCCTACAGGTAGGGACAGAGGGAGGGCACAAGTGTGGGGCCTGTGGACACGATATCTCCCACCTGGCCAACCCACATGAGCACCAGTGCATGGTGAGTCAGGACAGGTCATTCCAGTGCACACAGTGCATGAAGATTTTTCACCAGGCGACAGACTTGCTCGAACACCAGTGTGTTCAGGTGGAGCAGAAACCGTTTGTGTGTGGGGTGTGTAAGATGGGCTTCTCTCTACTCACTTCTTTAGCCCAGCACCACACGTCCCATAACAGCACCAACCCAATGAAGTGTTCAATATGTGAGAAGACCTACCGACCCGGTTCTTCTGGCAACGTCACACCCAACTCAAATAATCCCCAGCAGTCTGGCAGTGATGGGGCGTCAGCCAGCAGCAGCTCATCCATTCTACCCTTTCCCTCGGCCCGAGACCGGCCGTACAAATGCTCTGTTTGCCAGAAGGGCTTCAAACACCTGTCAGAACTCACACGGCATGAGAGGGTGCACACAGGAGAGAAGCCCTTCAAATGTGACACATGTGACAAGGCCTTCAGCCAGTCGTCACACCTGCAGCACCACCAGCGAACACACAGCAGTGAACGCCCATTCAAGTGTGCCGTTTGTGAAAAGAGTTTCAAGCACCGCTCCCACCTCGTGCGCCACATGTATGTGCACTCCGGCGAGCACTTGTTCAAATGCAACTTATGTGAGCTGCACTTCAAAGAGTCGTCAGAGCTCCTTCACCACCCCTGCCACCCGCAGGGCTCTCGGCCGTTCCGCTGTGCCACATGTGGTAAGGGTTTCAAGCGGCCATCTGACCTGCGCCAACACGAGCGCACGCACTCAGAGGAGCGTCCCTTCCACTGTGACGAGTGTCAGATGAGTTTCAAGCAGCAATATGCACTGGTGCGCCATCGACGCACACACAAAGACCCTACTGACCGGCCATTCAAATGCAATCTGTGCGACAAGGGCTTCATGCAGCCCTCTCACCTCCTCTACCACCAGCACGTCCACGGCATGGACAACCTGTTCAAGTGCGCCTCATGCCAGAAGGAGTTCAGCCAGTCAGGAGAGCTGCTCCGACACAAGTGTGGCGAGTCGTCAAACACCTCGCCCGACAAGCCGTACAAGTGCGACGTGTGTGGCAAGGGCTACAAGAAGAGTTCCACGTTACAGCGTCATCAAAACTCTCACTGCCAAGAGAAGCCCCTCAAGTGCTCGCTCTGTGACCGCCGCTTCCTGTCCTCTTCGGAATTTGTCCAGCATCGCTGCGACCCGTCGCGGGAAAAACCGCTGAAGTGTCCTGACTGTGAAAAACGTTTCAAATACTCTTCAGACCTGAACCGGCACCGCCGCGTGCACACAGGGGAGAAACCGTACAAATGTGGCCACTGCAACAAGGGCTTCAAACAGCGCGAGCACCTCACCAAACACGCGAGCACGCACTCCAGAGAGGGCCAGTTCAAGTGTGTTTGGTGCGGCGAGCGTTTCAGTGACTTGGGCTCTTTGCAGGATCACACGGTGCAGCACACAGCCGATGGAGGGGGTTACCCTGTGCCCCAGTGCATATAAATCCCTGGAAACTTTTTCCCTCAAACAGACTCCGGTCCTCTTGTCTATCCCTTGTAGGCTGTTTATTCAGCCTAACTATCACCGCATCTGCAGGACAGACCAGGCTGTTATTAATGCACTCATTCACTTCAGTGATACATCAGGTTTTCATTGCTTTACTAACCTGCCCAAAGCCCTCATTCCATAAAATCCTGAGGAGGCCTTTTTTTTCTCCATGTGCGTTCCTTTTTGTTCCACCTCTTTTTCTTCTTTTACCACTCCCCTTTTTCTCAGTTCAAATAGTTGATAGCAGTGAAGAGGCCACAACCACTTAACTGCCATCATTTATACTTGGACTGAAACAGGTACCATAGTACAGGCTGATTCAGCAAATACTTAGATCCTCCTAAAAAAAAAAAAAAGAGAAAATAAGTCCTTGTCTTATAAGAGACATAAATTGTTTGGTATAGTGTAAGGTGTGCTGAATTAGTTAATATAGGCCTATAAACCTAAACTGACCGGGCCACAAATATTTTCTTTGCCGCTAGAGTATCCACTAAAGGGGGATCATTCCCTTGTTTTTTGCTTTCTCCCTCTCTTTCTCCGACTACATCTCTTCCCCCCGCTCTTCAGTTTCTCCCTCATTTTTTCCCCCCTCATTTGTGCTTTTCTTTTGCATCCTCTTTCGGTCTCAGCCTGTGACTTCAGACGCTTTTCACCTCCACACAGTAATAGTGTATCCATCTGTTTTGGTCCCGACCCAGCTCCTTGTTCCCACGTCCCTCTGAGTTTTAGTACTTTACCTATTATTTATGAAGTAGTACCAGAAAGCTCCTCAATGTATGTGAAGGAAAATGGGGTGAAGGGTGGAGTTTGGGGATTTATAGTCCTATAGTGAAATTATTCAGATGAGAAAATGTGAGCGTATGTGTGGCCCATAGTTTATGGCTACCTCCCGTTTGTACCAAAACACCAGTATGAAGCAGCACCCGATCCCAAAGGTGTGTAGACTAACCAACCAGCTGAAGTTAACCAATAAAACCCCCAATGATCGATACCAGTCTCTCTTGTCAGTATAGACATATATAGAAATATATATTTCACACCTAATGTACTTCATATTCCTGCAGAGGTTTATGCTGTTAGACTTATGTGTCCTGGAAATGTCCACGTTTTGAACATTACACTTCCTCTCAGCCTGTACATACTGTGGATGTGTGGAAATGTCAGAACTTGTCTTTCTTAAAAACAATATGTAAGAACTGTTTTTGTATTCTTGCTACTTTTTACCATGTGAAATGTTTTGACAAAGGCTCTTTTGTTGTTTTTGTAGTCCATGTAGTGATTGTATCTGTATGTTGCAGGGAATCTCTGAGCACCCTGTGTGTGTGTGTGTGTGTGAGTGTGTGTGTGAGTCTGAGTGTGTGAATGTAAACAGTATTCTGTCAAACAGGGAAATTCAGACTGTAGAGAATCGTATTATAAATGTTTCAACAGACCTGCGCCTTTTTTTAATTTACTAACCTTACTGGTCTGTCAGAGCTGTTTTTGCAGGATGAACCTGCACTTTGTGTTACATATTTTCCATGTTTTGAAAGAAATATTAATACTGTTTGTTCTGTTACAAGTTGCATTAAGGTTAACATTGTGTCTCAGAGTGAATGACACCTTCCTCCTCTGTGAATGCTATGGGATTGTAGTTGCGCTTGAGAAGCCTGGAATGCAGGTTGGTTTTACATGTCAGCTGTGATCGCCATTGTTCCTTTTCCTGATCATCTGGGGAGCTGTTCCCTCTCCCCTCTCCTCCCCCCTCTCCCCCTCTGTCACTGTTGATTCATGGTTTGAGTGCAGTATTGAAAAGTGTTGAATACAAACGGAGGAGGCCAAGGAAGTACCTTTTTTGTTTTGTTTTTTTAATTCTGGCTTGCAGTTCTTTTCTTTTTTTAGCCTTAAAGTGGCCATAGTACCTCTCTGCTCCTTCCTCCTGTTCTGCTTTCTGTCTGTCTCCTTCATCAGCCATCATGTTTCCTTTTTTATTTTCTGAATCTGGCATTATAAGACTTTGAGAACAACTTGGACTTAAAGTAAGGAAGTACTGTATGTTTTTATTTTCACATTTGTTTTTATTAATTTTTATGCGTATTCTTTAAATTGATATGAATATCTATATTCCTCGGAGAGACCAGGGCCTTGGGGTAGGTTTGTTGTTTTTAACTATGTAGAATTGTTTCTAAGGCCAAATCACAGAAGAAACAATTTCTACACAAAGAATTCTGTAGGGTGGTGGTGTGAAAGTTGAGTAATTACAACAAAAACTGTGTCAGGAATCAATGAAGGTGGGTTCATATTTGCCAAGACCTACAAGTGCTCAAGAATGTTCAAATTGTTAATTGGTGCTGATACATCATCAGATGTGCATAATAAAAAAATAGTTACTCCAGGTGCAGACCCAAGGACCTCACATACTGTGTTGACAGTAGACTTAACATGTAATAATAATAATACAAGTGTCTGTTCAAAGCCTAATAATTCCAGCCCTGCAGCACTGGTTTAGTTGTTTGTATTAGTGAGGGCGACTGTGTGGTCGTGCATTTGTCCTGTGTGTTATAGAGTACTGTTGAGGTGTGTGAAACATTAACGGACCAATCTGCAGTGAGGAATACTGCAAAGTGAAAGGGAGAGCCGCACTGATCAGTCTGATATCTACGCAGTCAGGGAAAGGAGAGGAAACTCTCCTGTATAAGCACAAATGAAATAAATCCACCCTGCTGCATTTTAACTGATGGTTCTAATGGAAAAATTTGGTTCAGGCACCAGTTCACCCAGCCACCATCCTCCTTCCTTTTCAGTTCCAGTAAATAAACCCGTCAGACCCTGGTGTCTCTTGCTCTCTGCATGCTTGCTGTGTTAGTTCCTGTGTTCTGTCCCTGGGAACTGGTGCCCCCTTCCTCCTCCCCCTCTTCCTCTCCTCACAGCACTGTTCCCTCCTATAGCTTTTTTCAAATTGTACTGTAGTTTATGTGAATGATGTTGAAAAAAAAAAAAGAAAAGAAAAAAACTTTTGTGGCGACGTACATGTACATTCATGCTAAGATTATCTGTATGTATGTAGCATTCAATTACACACAGCACTAACAAATAAAACTTTTTTCATTTATAAAGTTACACGAGTCAACTGAGATACAACATTCGTCTGATTTTGGAGAGATGTTCTTGACTGTTTTTTTTGGGGGGGGGTATTTTTTATTGCTCAAATATTTAATTGTATCCTTTAAATGTTGTATTATTCCAGCCAGACCACATTCACAGACTCATTTGACACCAGTGTTAGTACTACAATGAACAAGATCATTTACAAATAAAAGTGTAGAGGATAAATACAACCACAAATGTCTGATTAGACATGAAGTGTCCTTGAGCGAGACAGATATTCACAGCCTCAGTAGGTGGTCTGCTGAGGGTGCCAAAATAAAAGAATTGTCCTCTGTGGATTAAGTGTTACAGAATAAGCTGTGAGTGCAGACTCACATCTACACAACAGCTGTGTGTCTATAATGAAAGAACATGCAGTCCAGTGCTGAGCTGTTGGAACCATTTTGTTAAAGTACTGAATACATTATTTACAGTGCTCACATGTAGCTTTCTTTACCGGGTATTGGAAACAGAATGGCCTGCAATTTTTAAAAAATAGTAGCCCTCATTGTTAAAGAGGACCCATTTAATTATTATGTGTATATTATATTTCATTGTATGATTATTACTGATGCATTAAGCAGCATTGTAATGTAGATAGAGAGAAGGTGGAGACCATTTTAATTATTTGTTGGGTGTAAAGTAACATTTATAAAAGCATGTTGTTGTATATAAACATCTTTATAGTATATAATCTGTAAATAAACCACTAACTACAGCTGTCCAATAAATGTAGTAAAAAGTGCATTTCCCTCTGAACCCCTGTGTAAGTACATTCTGCCTGGCATGCGGCGCTTTTCGTTTCAGGTCCAGTGAGGCGAGTCCGCAACGAAACGATCGACGCACACACACACACACACCAACCCCACACAGGGGCCACCCTCTCCGCATCTGTTAGCCAAACCTCTGCCTCTATGACACTGACCAGCTCCAGTTTCATATTCGACACACACCGCGAGACTCACAATGTGCGTAAAACCATACAGCCAGCTGCTACCACTGCAGGCCTCATGTGATTGGATGATCTAATTCATATCAGTTGTATTATTCCTATATGGAATTAAACCTCTGCGGTGTCTGTGCCTTATTTTGTTGTAACAACATGTCAC